CTCCTCCTCTCTCTCTCTCTCTCTTCTCTCTCTCTCTCTCTCTCTCTCTCTCTCTCTCTATCTCTATCTCTATATCTCTTTCTCTTTCTAAATAACTCCTTCCTTAAATGGCGTTACTGCGATCTCTCATACTATATGAAGGCTCTATATCACCGAGTCACTATGTGGATTTTTTCTACTCGTTAAATTTCTTATGAGCTGAGTTAATGTGAACTAATAAATCCAGCTATCGCTTATGATAGCATTATCGCACCTGTCATTTCACGTTGACTCACCCGATAAACTCGTGTCTACCTCTGCCATCCCGCGACCCCGGCTCGGTCACGTATTCTCAACTGCTGACTGTTCTTATCTAGCAAGCAAACATCTTCTACATTTACGACTAAAAATTAGCTGCAATGATCCGCTTATAGAGTGTGCGTATATCCGCGCGTCTCCTATGCTTTCTTTAAAGGCACGTGCGCGTGCGTGTACCCGCGGCGGGTGTTGGAGTTTGTATGTGCGCGCGTGCGTGCGTGCGTGCATGCGTGCGTGCCTGCATGCGTGCTTACATGCGTTCGGGCGTGCGTGAATGTTCGTGCGTGCGTGCGTGAGTGCGTGCGCACGGAGGTGCAAGTGTGCGTGCGTGCGTGCGTGCGTGCGTGCGTGCGTGCGTGCGTGCATGCATGCGTCCCTACATGAGTTTGGGCATGCGTGAATGTGCGTGCGGGCGCGCGGAGGTGCAAGTGTGCGTGCGTGCGTGCGTGCGTGCGTGCGTGCGTGCGTGGATAGCGTGACTACGTATACGCTGTCATTTCATAAAGTGGCGAGATAGATAAGAGATGTTTGCCAAAAAGAAATGCCAAATTTAAAAGCCTACGTGTATAGAAACACGTGTATAGATACGTGGCACGCTTGCAAATAACAATTATTCTTTTCGACTTGCTCTGAAAAAAAAGCAAAGCGACATTTGAACATTGTTTGTTTTACAACTCTTGCGTTTCTGCTTAAGAACCCCCGTTATCACATCATGCGACTCGTATGTGTACAAGCGCGCCTATTTTGTGGTATTTTGCTGCGTCAGCGTGAAATCTTACCATAAAGCAAAGCCAATCTCTAATCTCAAGTTGATAACGTACACAGTACACAGAGTTATGATAACATCATTAACTTACCTATATATAGTTGTTACATTTCGATATTTCTCAGTAGAGTGCACGTCACATCGTTACGAACTTGTACTCATACGTTTGAAACCAGAAAACTAGAAAGCCAGAGAAGAGAAGAGAGGAGAGGAGAATAGAAGAGAAGAGAAGAGAGAAGACGGAAGAAGAAGAGAGGAGAGACGAAAGAAGAGGAGAATAGAAGAGAGGAGCGGAGAAGGAAAGAGACGAAAAAAGAAGAGAAGGAGAGACCAGGAGAGAAACACTGGTATGTATATGCTAAAATCATTCATTTTATTTTCTCTTCTGTTCTCATGTCGTTGAAGAAGTTGGTGGTTTTGTGCATGCGTGCTCGTGCGTGCGCGTTCGTTTGCGTGTGTCTTCGAAGGCGTGTGCACGAGCGCGTGCGTGCGTGTGTGTGTGTGTGTGTGTGTGTGTGTGTGTTGTGTGTGTGTCGTGTGTGGTGTGTGTGTGTGGTGTGGTGTAATGGTGTGTGTGTGTGTGTGGTGGTGTGTGTGTGTGTGTGATGGTGTGTGTGTGTTGTGCGCGTGTGTGGGTGGTGTTTGTGTGTGCTGTGCGTTGTGTGTGTGTGTGATGTGTGTGTGTGCGTGCGTGCGGTGTGTGTGCGTGCGTGCGTGTGTGGGTGTGTGTGCTGCGTGGTGCGTGTTGCTGTCGTGCGATGTGTGTTGCGTGTGTCGTGCGTGCGCTGTGTGTGTGACTTATGTATTGTTCCTTTTCACTCTGCTTGGCTGCGCCTTCTGTGGCAGATGATGTTTCTGCTAAAGCCGTTCATCCTGACAAATTCTAACAAGACAATTACAGGCACTCATAACAGGCTGAAGGGTGGGGGTTATTTATTCAGGGTCCCCCTCTCTGGACAATCGTTCTAAGTTTCATTTTCTCGTCAGTTTTCCAATGCGATGAAAAAGTTTGTGGCTTTTGATGAAGGCGTGGTCGTGCGTCTGCGTGAATCGTGCGTGCGTTGATCGTGGCGTACGATCGTGCGTGGTGCGTGCGTGTGTGTGTGTGTGTGGTGTGTGTGGTGTGTGTGTGTGTGCGTACGGTTGTGTGTGGCGTGTGTGGTTGTGTATGTGTGAGTACGCCCGTGTCGTGTGTGTGTCGTTGTGTGTGTGTGCGTACATTTGTGTATCGTGTGCGTGTGTGCTGTATCGTGTGTCGTACGTTTGTGTCGTGTGTGCGTTGTGTGTGTAATGTGTGCGTACGTTTGTGTGTGTGATGTGCGTGTGTGTATGTGTAATGCGTAATTGTATGTGTGCGTGTGCGTGCGTGCGTGGCGACGTGTGTGTGTGTATGTGTGTGGCTGTGTGTGGTGTGAGTGCGTGCGGCGCCTCGGGTGCGTGCGCGCTGCGTGCCCGCGGTGTTTGCTGTGCTGCCGCGACGCTGATTGTGTGGCGTCGTGTGCGCAACGTTTCTGCGTCATGTGTCGTGCCCGGTTGCGTGCGTGGCCGTGCGTCGTGTGGTCGTGTGTGTGTGTGGCGTGTGTGTGTGGGTGGCTGTGTGTGTCGCTGTGTGTGTCGTGGCATTGATGTGTGTGTGTGGTGTGGCTCGTTTGTGTGTGCTGTGTGTGTCGTGTGCTGATGTGTCCGTCGTGATGTGTGTGTTTGTGTCGGTGTGTGTGTCGTGCTGTGTGTGTGTGTGTGTGTGTGTGTATGCGCGCGGGTTCGCGTGTGCGTGCGTGTGTGTGCCTGTGTGTTTGTGTGTTTGTGTGCGTTTGTGTGTATGTGTATGCATATATATATATATAGATATATAGATATATTTAGTATCATCGCCCGAGTGATTATAGGAAATCCTGCGCGCTGATTGGTCGAGACCTAGCTTTACATTGTATTGGGAAATGCTATCCACCTGGCGTGGAGGGACAGTACCGCAATGTGGCAGCACTAGTGTTAGGATTAGGGTTAGGATCAGGGTTAGGGTTAGGGTTAGGGTTAGGGTTAGGGTTAGGGTTAGGGTTAGGGTTAGGGATATAAGGCCATGTCTAGTACGGAGGTATGACTGTGGAATCTTTTTGTGGAAGATTTGGACTTTTAAGTATACGTCAACTGTATCACGTGACTGTACCTCTACGCCCGGGGGATAGCAACACCCTATTGTATTTTGCGCAAAAAATGGCGGCTAGATTTGTAAATGTTACGGAAGCCGAAATTGACAAATTTAAAGAAAATGCTGTCCCCAAAAGTACCAAAGATGTGACAAAATTTGGAGTTAAACTATTTAAAGGTAGGTAGTTAAATTCAAGCTTATTGGTTATTGTTTTTTGTTAATCTAATTTCCAACAGATGGCAGGCACTACCTTATTAGAAATTAAACAGGGACAGTCTATATTACCCCAGCTAGCTTACCAATGATAGCGATTAGTGGAATTCTTCTGAACTAAAAGGTATCTATTTCTTTGGGGGAATGCCTTTGCAAAACCCCATATATAGAATGGGACTACGTGAGAAGCCTCTAGCACATGTGTTCAACACGCACGCTCGCCGTGTATTTCTAGTTCTGCGTGCAGCCAGTCGTACTAACATTAATCATTATGTAATGATCTGCGGTCAATGCTCGCGGCTAATGATACGTTCTATTGCTAATTTCATTCCTACCCGCTTGCCAATGCCGCAATATTATTCAACCATGCGCTCGCGGTAGCACAAACAGCTATACATGTGTCACCAGTAACTTCTTAAACTAAACTCTACTTTCTACCTTCTAATAACTCTACATTACATTAACACTGTTACATCTGTACTCCTAACATTCCCTGTATTTCGTAACATCTCACTACCAACATTACTTAGTATATATATATATGATTTTAGTTTATCAGTCTCATACGATAGCCTGTCACATCAGGTGTATTGTTTTCTCAGGTGTCAGGACAGTGATCAACATCGCCAGAGGTCGCCAGCTACTGCTACACGTGCCTGAAATACGATAGAGAAAAAGTAAGTTTGCTCTTATTAAATCATGTCAATTTTGCAATCGTTCTGACGGCATTTTCGATTTTCCATGATAAAAAAAATTTTATAAGCATATTTTTCCCACATTAGATATTCACATCTATTAAATCTTCGTATCTATGAAATTAAACCCTTTTATAAATACACGGATAATTATCATAGTTTTAGTGCAGATTTGTCACGTGTATGTCATGACTAGGTGTTAATCTTTGTACACGTGCATTCCGTAATCAAACGCAGCCTCATGCTGGCGTACAGTGTGAGAAAAAAACAAATTTGAAACTTCTTCTAATTACGAGAGATGAAATGTTTTTTTCTCCAGATTTCAAGTATCAAAAGCACAATATATTCCTATCAATATGGGCAACCATCAATCCACTGCAGATCTGCCCGGGGGATCACTACCGGAAACACGCAGCATTCTACCGTCCCCCAGAAGTGGATTCTTAGTATGGGCAGTGGCTCGCGGTCATACGAATATGGTCAAAGCGTTATTAGGTGCGGGCGCTAACACAGAACACACGAACGAGCATGGCTACCGCACATTAATGATAGCAACTGTTATCGGTTTTACGGATACGGTCAAAGCGTTATTAGATGCGGGAGCTAACATAGATCACGCTAACCGTGAGGGCAACACCTCATTAATAATTGCAGCTAAAGATGGTAATACGGATGTGATGACAGCGTTATTACATGCGGGCGCTAACATAGATCAAGCGAACATGGATGGCGAGACGGCGTTGATGCATGCTGCCAGTCACGGTCGTACATCGTGTGTCATGCAGTTACTAGCAAAAACAGAGCGTGTGGAAGAGAGTCGCAGTAACAATGGCAGGACGGTGTTGGCGTGGGCTGCCTACGGCGGTCACGCAAGCCTTGTGACGAAATTATTGAATGAAATACGTGCGTGGCATCCCGAGGACGTGCAAATAGCGTACCAGACGGCCGTAGATTGCGCCCATGACGTCACCATGAACGACGGCCATAGAAAATCCGCCGGCGTTCTACTGGCGCACCAATACTTTGTCAATGAGTTGCCCCCCGCTTGTTATTGTGACACAGAACGTAAGATATCACCCTGTAATGTCATTGGTGTGACGTCACTGTCTGATATATGGAAGATGCCAGGCTTGGGAAGATTAGAGCATCAGGGGGAATGCGATCAAATGCGGGACGCCGTGCTAGACCTGATGAAGCTAGTCTGCAAGGAGATTAAAGTCTTAGACAGTGACTTCTCTTGCACGCCCATTCTGATAGGCAGCACGGGCAACCGCACAAAAGCTGGTCTGCCGGACGAATACGACTTCCTATTCGAAATCGATAGATATCGAGAGAAAATAATTGTTGAAAACACAAAATCTAATACAGCTGGCTTTGTAACAATTCGCGAGGAAAAATCATACCAGCATATTTCGGTAAATCTAAAAGAAGAATTTGTTAAGGTATTGTGTCGGGCTGTATCAAAAGTCATGAAAAACGGGGAGCACTCATTTAAAACACAAAAGTCGGAAAAGACACAAATTTTGGAATGGAATAAATTGTGCACCCAGTTCAACATGAAATTTGTTGGCGAAGGACATTATAAATTTCTATCTATATCGATAGATTGCACGCCGGTAGTACGAATCTCGGGCAAGCCAGCTGGCGCAACAAACTTTCCTTATGACCACTACCACGTGGTACCCAAGCGTGGCGTAGACAATACGAGCTGGTCCGTCTGTACGGCAGTAGCGGAAAGCAATATGATCAGAAGTTTCCATCCAGTTTATCGCCAGGCTCTAATCGTAGCAAAGACATTTCTTCATCCTCGAGTACATGATTGTTATAATAAGCGTGACAAAATATTTAATAATGATGTGTTGCTTAAAAACAGTGACGTAAAAGTTTTAAATAATTCTGACTTAGACGTAATTCAGATGTATATCGACACTCACTTTAAGCCTAAGAAACTGATCGACTCCTACTTCCTAAAACTTGCGCTGCTCTATGTCGCATCACTTAACCCAGCGGATTCGTTGCCGTTCCCAGTAATCGTGCGTAAAATATTCGAGTACGTTCAATCGTGTGCAAATAAGAGCAACATGCCGCATCCTTATATTGATAATTTCAATGTTTTGGCCGAGGACTATGGTAAAACAATCACACACGTGCCGGTCGCGTATTTGCGTGAGCGGCACTTGAAGCTGTTACTAAGACGTCTTGATAGTGGTCCGCTGGTGAGTAAAAGCCGACCTATAAGGTTCGGCGCTAATGAGATATGGAAGAAGATAAAGGAGTCGGACAAGAAATATTGGCGTGAAGAATGGTTTATTAGCGCTTGGAACCTACTGGCTGACACCTGCGATGAGTGAAATATAGTTAGTAGGGTATTAGGTGTGCGCTTCTAAGAGGGTCTAATTTAAAAAAATTTCGTGCTTGCAAGTTCGGCTTACGGCTAGACCCCCACCCGGTACAAATCCTGTACACGCCCCTGCTACCGTCACAAATTGTGATTCATTTTGGTTTATAAATTATGGGTGCTTCTGAGCTATTAAGTAATTAATAACGTCCGTGATTTTTTGGGACATATTTTTCCATATATCTGTTTATAACAAATTATGAATGTAGTAGAGTTTCAATTTTAAGCTGTAGAGATAAAAACAATAGTTTTGACCAAAATTTGTCATGGAATACAAATTCTATGCATGTTTTAATGGAAAATGTCAATGTTTTCTCGTGAAATTTTGTGACGTAATTTTTGCATGCTTAATATATGTTGTATAAATATTTAAATTTTATTCCTCTCCATTATAATGTCTTAGATATAGTTAGAAAGGACATAAATTGGTTTGATGAAACAAAGAAAGCCTTCAAATATTTTATTTTTTAGTGTTTTATCTTCTTTTGAATTTAGTAGACACGGACGTTACCTGTCTGTCAAAAAAACACTTACATTTTGCACTAAAATTTAAAACCCACACAAATACAGTATAACCTTGGAAATATCATTAATACATACATTAAATGTCTTATCTTCATGACCACTACTCTTTTTCTCAAAGAATGTGATTACACATCAAATAAATCAAATAAAAAATCAGTGCCTGCATGTCTGTCAAATATAACGGCCATAACTTTGATGTAAAAAATAAAATCTAGACATGCTGTTGGCATAACACCCCTACTCACAGTTAAAGTAGAACATTCCACAGAACGTAACATCAGGGATTTGTGTCAGATGCATCTGAGAAAGTTGAAAATAGAGACAAATGGCTGTCTCTCAAATATTTCCTGAGTAACGTCCGTGACGTTCGGACGTTATTTTTTTCAACAAAATCTTTAAATACATGTGCATGGAAAATGGTATCATGTCCAATATCCATGTTATTGTGCATGCACACATTAGACATATAAATATCGATCATTCAAGTGGAGAATGTTCAGATATTGACATAAATACTCTCGGACGTTACTATTGACATTTGATCACAATTTGTTATGGGTAATGTCAAAGTCACGTCCGTATCAGGATTGCAACACAAATTATGTAGCAAATACTTTCCCTCTTTGTATGTATAATTGATAATCGTGTTCACAAGTAGGTTTCCTTCAAATTCTGCCATCAAATGTGTCCTTGTTTGATTGTAAATAACTTAATTTTGAAGTTTATATTCGGACGTTACACAATAATTGTCAATTTGTCAATGGTAACGTCCGGATTACTATATTGTCGAAAATTGTGGCATACCTTCCAACAAACATGTTAAAAGTACACATAGTGTAGCTCACATTGTAATAAAATGCTTGCAATGCTTTCACCGTTTTAGAAGTCTACAATACTTTGTAGATAAAATTGTGAATTCAACAAATTTTAGTAACGTCCGTAACACTAACAATTTAATGTATTATTATGTTCAAAATAATAATTTCTGAGAAATGATCATTATAGACACACAGCACGCATCTAACTTGTTGTAAATTCACATTCATCCTCAATTCAGTCCTTGTATTTTTATTTCAAAACCTTGTCGAAGCATGTTGAGTAACGTCCGTAACTTTCAAAGTAACTCACACAAAATCTGAATTTTTATATATAATGCACTCAAAACTATCTTCTAACGTAGCTTTTCTAAAATTTTAATGCATCATCTATAATCAGGGCCTATACAGTACAGAATACATGCATCTTTATTTTGAAAGATGATGTCACAAAAATATTACTCAATAGCTCAGAAGCACCCAATATATAATACTCAATATAATATTATTTATTATTTTCACGTAAAAAATTACACCTATAATTATCAAGAGTATATAATGGGAGTTCTCCCTATACTCTTCGTTTCTATAATGTACGTCAATGGTTGCTCAATTAAAACTGACTTCTTCTCACTCACTCATTTGTGTCCTTTTTTTGTGGTGAGCTATAGTGTCATTGACACTTTCATTTAATAAGTTCTAGTGTATGTCGCTTGTTTAAGACAGAAATTATGTTACTTTTAGAAAATATACAGTATGGCATTGGGGTTTTTTTATTGACAATTTATATCAGACATTGATGTTTTGGTGATGTTGATGGTTATGATAAATGATGATGATGATGGTGATTATGACGATGATGATGGTGATGATGATGGTAGTATAGTCGTAGATATCCAGTGTAGAGTCGGTATCTTTGAAGGAATGACAAAAACAAACGAAAAAGTACTGAAAGGAAAATAACTCCCAGGGTAAATATTTAAATAGGGCTGCGCTCCTGTACAATAATTTAGGAGGTATAAGATAAATAAATTAAAATTAAAAAAAACTGGTGTCCACCATGTAGTGGCGGTATTCTGATAACACACAATGGAGATTGATCTGTACATGTATATACTTTTTATTATGAGCATGAATTTTGTGAGATATGTTCGCGATGTACCACTTTATCTTAAGAAAGCACAGACAATATTGGTTACCAACTCTACATGGAAGGTAATTTTCACACACATTGCCATAAGACAAAATTATTTACGCGTACATGCAGAGTCTTTTTCCTTGAAAGCATGCATCCTGACAAATGTTCTTTAACAACATCCAAGTAATTTTACTTGTTACAGTTTACTTGGTAGAGTGTATTTTACCAAGAGATTGGTTGTTTTTAACACATTCATGAATGTTATGTTGGGCTTTGCGTCTAGGCATAATCTGAGAGCTGAACGGCATCTTTTCTTTTATATTTTTCAAACAATCCTTTGACGGTCTGCCAGCACCAACGCTGTTTCTGCCGCCCCCAACCATCTTTCCCCTAGATGCTGCAGTTGGCTGAATACCAATTGTCTTCATACCAATAAGAAAACCGGTTAGAAATTACGGACGGAATGCAGCTTTCAAACCTTCAGCTGTCAGTGACTGTGCATTA